AAGGTTCATGTTCTATTTGTTGTTTTTCATTATACATATGTATATATTTATAGTTCTAATTTTTTAAATGTTTGTAAGAGAAATTAACAATAAGAATCTATTAAATGGAGAAGTAAGCTTAACTTGCTTTAAAATACTTTTTGCATGTATCATTATCTCATGAAACTCAAGGCTACAATTTTCTTAAATGGTTTTAGCCGGCACTAAACGTGTACTCGTGCTTTAAATGCATGGAAACCCCAACGCATCATATCGTTGGCATAATTTGATATTTAAGGCAATTTGAATGTTCTATCAGGAGTTTAGCACACTTTGCCATATTTTTGTTCGATTATAAGTTTGATATAAATAAATTCTATAATCAAACTTGCAAATGAAAAAAGGTTGTGATACGTTATTGTTCATGGTGGTGCCCAAAGAATAGAACATGGTGGTCATGGTGTTCAACTTAAGTATGGCTAAGAAACTCTTATGCCTCAGTTCTTAATAATTGAATGGTTAATCAAATATGCTTATATTGAAAGACTAAACACAGACATGACATGATGATAAATTTGTATTTTAAAAATGGCTGTTAACTGGTAAAGCATTATTTAGCAAGCAAAAGTTGTGGTCAAATAAAGCATCTGCATGGAGCTAAACCATTCGTGCTTTCTAAGTGCATTCTCACTATTTGGTAGCAGAGTGTTGGATGAAAAGAAGCCACCCACGTTTGGAACACTTTATATTGACCTTCACCACCAACAGCTTCGGAAGTGGAGTTGTTTAGGTTTAAGCTCAAAGCCTCAGTCCCTACAACTCCAAAGTACACAGGATATCAGAGCGCAGAGACAACGGCTGCGAACAACATGTAAAAAAGTTAACTATAGCATCACATTAAGAAAATTTTGGGAATAAAAAAAGGCATACTATCAAATCTTGGTGTCGATCATCATCTCAAAACAGCGGCTATGAGAGTAATAAAACAGAGTACTGGTTCTCATTTTACCTTCTAAACATAAGAAAAAACCTTTGGTTATGATGTGTATAATGATTTTACAGCCTTAATAAATGTTATATACAGTGAAAGTCGAACAATTTTTAATAACAGAAGTCACATAATCAAACTAAAAAGAGCCGCCCACAACATATGAGTAAAGTGACTGAAGCCGTACCTCAGTGTTGGCATGCACAACCTACTGAAGTTTATAAAGTAACAATGAGTTAGATCTGTGTTGGATGCTCATAACAGCATGATCAGTAAAGTATTGTTCTGATTCAATTCACTGAACTTCCCTCCATCTAGATTCCTGCTCATCTGTCCAAAAAATCATATTCTCATGATCAAAATGTTTTCTTAAGATTAATCTATGCCATGCATACATATATGTAATATTTGTAGTCATGCCTTATTTAAAGCCAATATAGGAGGGAGTAACTGTAGGGGCATCATCACCGGCAGGCCTGACCTCTTGCAAGTCCTTGTAGTTCAACAATGACCTCAGCCAAGACCCTGAGATCTCCATGGTTAGATGATTCAAAGTTTCTCTTACCACTTTTTCCTTGGCGTTCACCGCACACACAAACTCAATCACTGCATTCTATAGGATTTTGAAAGGAAGAACCAAAAACGCCACTCAATAAATAGATCACTGCCAAAACATACCCAGAGAGATCTATATAAAATGCTCATCATCCCCCATAAAAAAAACCTAAGTAAATATGCAGAGGTATATGGTAACTGAAAGCTAGATGAAGAATTAAAAATAACATAATTGCGCTCTGTATGAAATGAATATCAAACCAGAAACATGAATTGAGATGAAAAGAAACCGAACGAACCTTAGCATCAAGGAGCAGCACCACGGCGTTTCAAGTTTCTAGCTTCCCAAAAACAGAGCTATCAGACTTGAATAGTGGAGGAGGAGCTAGCGCCTGCCTTCAAATCAGAGAAGAAGACCAAAACGTTAGCCATATCCCACAGTTTTAGTTTATTGGTTAGCTTAGAAGAATGAGAGGATGATTCTAAATGTAGAAATCATACCTTTTTATAGATTAACCTTCACCGCCTTACAGAATTAAAAAAAAAAGTATGTTTTCTATATAGATCGTGTGTAAGAGATTAGTGGAGGGTTTTAAGACGATTATTCAGTAATTGGTATCTTTTCGTACTCTAAAGAAGAATATGAAAGAGCAATTTCGGAAGAAAAACAAAAATTAATCGACAGGGATTCTGGAGAGGCGAAGAAGAAGAAAAGGGGTTAACCCTAATTGAAACGCATCATTTCATCTACGCGTAAACGACAAAAGGCCAGATATGACAAAAAGGCCAATCAAATTGCACGTAGGACTTAATGAGACGCAGCGAATCGATTAAATAGGACATGTGGTATAATGTGGTTCATCTATTTGATGACGTGGCTTGAGCAAGAGTGAGTGAAGTATACTTTATATATATATATATAGATAGATGTATTAATTTTGTTTATTTTCTAAAATATTTGGTGTTAATTTTAGAAGTGTAAATTTGGTGTGATAAATTTGAAAAACTAAAAGTTTGTTACTCTAAAGTATTTAATTTTCTATATCTGTAAGTAACCTGTAACTTAGCAATAATCATTATCAAGAGTATATTTTTTGCAGTATTCAAAATTTTAAATATGTCACTAGTTTTTCCTAAAGACAAATTATCGTAACCAAAAAATCACTTTTAATATATACTTCAAAATATATAATTTGGAATTGCATATAATATAGATTAAGAACATTTCATTATATGANTCTATATCTGTAAGTAACCTGTAACTTAGCAATAATCATTATCAAGAGTATATTTTTTGCAGTATTCAAAATTTTAAATATGTCACTAGTTTTTCCTAAAGACAAATTATCGTAACCAAAAAATCACTTTTAATATATACTTCAAAATATATAATTTGGAATTGCATATAATATAGATTAAGAACATTTCATTATATGAAATATATTAAAAATGTAAAACATTAGTTTTAACAATAAACTGATATATATAATAGTAAGTTTCCTTGTGGAATTTATTACTACAAGCCAACATGATCAATGCATGTCATAATATCCTACTTCGTGCACCAGCAATGATTATTCGTAGCAATGGTCACCGGGCGAGGCTTCATTTGACAATCTTTTTGGCCATGATTCCAACAGAAGTTAAGAAATCCACCCTTGGGAGGTTTAATAACGGAAGGCTTACTTTTCGGGATGGTTGGGATAAAATTGGATGGTTCGTCTCGAACGACCGCTGAGTCGACTCTTAGAAAGAAAACAGAGGTTAAAACCAAGAGTGCTAAGAAACAACACGCAATAGTTCCTCTCCATCCGCTATTCATTATCTTGTCTTCCAAAATATAATTACAAAAATAATTTCTTTTTTTAGTTTTTTTCCTTTGTTTTTTTTTCTTTGTTATTTCTTATCCTAGAACTTATGTTTATATAAGAAACTAAATTTACTGTTACTCTCAAGAAATTTTTTCTTTTCTTTTCTTTGTCCTAGTCCTGAGGCTAAGTTAATGCTGGTACCTTTCCCCTCCCAAAATAATCGTTAGACGTTTTCTATATTAAGATATAAATGGGTAATTGAATCGTTGAAATATTTATTTAGCTATGCAATTCTAATAATATAAAAATTGATATGATTTTGTGTATATGTATATATATATATATATNTTTTTTCTTTTCTTTTCTTTGTCCTAGTCCTGAGGCTAAGTTAATGCTGGTACCTTTCCCCTCCCAAAATAATCGTTAGACGTTTTCTATATTAAGATATAAATGGGTAATTGAATCGTTGAAATATTTATTTAGCTATGCAATTCTAATAATATAAAAATTGATATGATTTTGTGTATATGTATATATATATATATATATATATATATATATATATATATATATATATATATATATATATATATGTGTGATCTGATCACATTGATCACTAAATACAATAGACTTTTAGGCATTCTTGATCCGTTGTCTTTTAATAAGTACCACTTAAAAGAACTATAGCTAGATTTCAATATAATATTCCATCTTCGTTGTTTCTCCCAAAATAAACACTACTAGAGTTTGATCTGCGCATTAGCACATATGTTTGTTTTAACTTTTAACTTATAAAATAATTGTAGACAATTTTATTTTATTTTTTATCTGTTAATTTATTTTTTTTGGCTTTCAGCGTTTTTTTTTTAATTTTTTTTTATATTTTTAGTCTTTGGTTTGGACCATTTATTTTTCATATTGTTGTTTATTAGTGTGTTTGTCTATATGTGATATATACGCATGGTATATTGTGTGACATAATGGTTTTTTTTTCGGTGGGAGTATTGTCTATTTAAAATTTTGAAAATTATTTCATATGCCATATGGTTTAAGATTATATGTTTAATATTCGTAAGATTCTAATCTTGTTTAATACCTCTTATGAGATTTTAACATTTTGTGCGTATGGATTTTAAGGTGATTTTTTGGTTTTATATGGTTGTAATTTTAATTCAGTATACTTAATCATTAGGTTTCGAGATAGTTACTTTCGTTATTATAGTAGATCATTTGGGCCACCAAAACAAATATTATGGCATTTGGTATAAAATATCATGTGATGTGGGCTTAGATCTTGAAGTTTTCATAGTGGTACGGAAATTAATATCGGGAATGGTTTGATTTATATGGGCCTGTTCTAGGAGAATCTGTAACTTGTTGACCAAGTTATGTAGGTATTTCTTTTTTATTATGTTTTTGTGTAAGTTTTCATACTAACGCAGACATACCACACAGTATTCGTTAATTAAAGGTAAAAGGTCAGATATAGAAATAATTAAGAAGTCGGATAAAGTATGCGGTTATTAAATATCCGTAATCAGTTTTAATCAAATAGAAAACAGATGAAGCTAATAATGACAATGCAATTGAACAACGGGGGAAACCGAAAGAAAGGGGAAAGAGTTCTTGTTCTTTGAGGATTAGAGCAGAATGAAACTACTCTTTTTTTAATGAATTGCATGAACTTGAGGATTAGAGCAGAATGAATTACAGTTTCTGCAAGGCCTGCCAAGAGATTTTAGTTCACAACTTCTAGGTGGCATGAATAGAATCATGTTTGTCCCGTACTCTTTACTCTTCCATATAGGTACATCACGTAACGATCTCTTAACTTGATTCCAACATCTGTTAAGCTTTGTGAGATCATTCTTCCAATCTAGAAGATCCGTGTACCTCCTCCCTGCCCTATGCTCGCATGTGACAAACAAAAGAATTGCATAGAGGTAGATACCTTTAGGGCTGTTTGCGTGTGCTGAGATTTGTAGATGCTTAAGACCCATTTATGGATTGTTGAAATCGAAATACTGCTTTATCCCTTCCACGTAATGAGCATCTCCATTGTTATGCTTCAAACAGTTCTTCATGATCTCCTGGTAACGGCGGATGGTCCCGTAAGGATTTTTAGTTAGCTCACGAAGCCGCGCATTCTTGAACACATATTTTTTTTCTTTTTTCTCCCAGTTGGACGTAGCACTCAGACACATACGAACGTCAGCTATGGTGAACTCACCGGCACGCTTCAGCTTCTTCGCGGTGGTGGAACGGCGGATTGGCATAACAGAAGGAATTGGGTTTTGCTGCGTCATTTCTTTAGTTTTTCTTGGTGAGTTTGATATGATATGAAACTTTTTAGAACTGCAGTTTATATAGCACTCGATGTTGAGGTTAGTCTTAATGCTGAGGAAGTTTGGCGCTATAAATTTCCAGAATGTTAGTGGATAATAAATGTGGTGATGTTTGAGCATGCATTGATACGTTAGATTCTTTTTCATATTGTATATCTATTGTTTTATTAGAAAAAGATTAAAAATAATAAGTTTATTTAATTAACATTTTCGAAAACTCTTATAATATTCAGAACACTATATGTTACAATTTTTAAAATAAATAATTGGATTTATTTTTGCTTTGTCTAATTTTGTTGGTGCTAAGTTTACAAAGTTATTAAAATTTTAATTTACAATATTATCAATTTGGTCATTTTTATAAATGGGCTCACGGGCCGATAATTATAAAGCTGAGGCCCAATAGTATCAAACCGTTTAGTTTATTTTCGGTGGACAGATGTCAGATTAAAGAGAGTCTATTTTGTGACATCACTTGATGATGTGGGTGAAGGAGAAGAGAGTGAAGCTTTTCTTTATATATAAAGATTGTTACCTTATAAATCATTGGTAATTACTGAATTTTATTAACTGTGATCCAACGTTATGAGATTTTTTTTATTACTATCGTATGTGTATCATGAATAAGCGATTCCTAATACATTCATGTATTAATTATTTTTTCTGTTACTTTTATATTGTACTCACCCTGATATTTAAAAGGATAATTCTCATATGTAAGCCCTGTTTGTTTTTAGAACGCTGCGTCAAAAACCAGCGGCCAAAATTATAAAAGGATTTTAAACGGCAGCTCAGCAACTAATAAGAACAGAGGGTTGGAATATGCTAATTGTTCGACGCTAGCGACGGCTCAAGGTATGTGCGGGAGACGCTGATTTAAACAGCAGCCATAAAATAAAAGAAAGGAAGAGCAGCGACACTCGCCGGCGGCAACTCTAGCCCTGTTCGGTGTGTTAACGCTGATACCAGCGTCAGCGATCAAAATTTAAACGTGGAACTGAATAAATGTTCGCCGGATTTAGCCGCAGCGATCGAGCGAAGCTTTAGATGTAACAGACTTTGGGACGCCAGAATTAATAGCGTCACCATTCCAGAAATCTGAACTCGACTTTAAACGCCAGCGTCACTTTTTTCTCTCTCATCCGGGCTCATTTACCTGTCGTCTGTGTTTTAATGGTCTCTGACACTGCGTCTTTCTTCCGAACAGGGCTTCTGTAACAACACTCCACTGAAATTCCTCTCTCATGCTTGTTATCAATAACACACGTGAAAGTAAATAATATTTATATGATATTATATCCGGAAAAAATATTTATTTTTTCAAACTTAACATAAATTATATTTCTGATACATTCTTTGTTTAAAGCTATAATATTTCTGATTCATCATTTGTTTCCCAAGCTAAAAAATATTTGTTTTAAACAAATTTATCAAGAAAAAATATTTGTTTTCTCAACCTTTTGCACCATATAATTTTTTTTGACCCGAAGAACCATATAGTTGTTGATACATCATATTTGTTTATTTTCTACTCCACAAATTTATATGATAATTATAGTATAATATGTAGTAATCATGATATACAAAAATATATCATTTACAAAATATATATGTCTTTATATAATAATCGTATAAATTCAGTTTTTATATAAAACTGATGTTTTGAGAAGTTTTTGTAATCTTTAATAGGACTACAGAAAAATAAAATGTATTATGAATACTATAGTGTTTCGTATAAATGTACATTAGATATCTATCTACTAAACACAAAATGCATTCCAAACAGAAAAAAAAAGAATGTATTTACCCTGACGTAATCATTCACATAACTTTTGCATACCCATATCGAAATGCATAATTAAAGAGATTAGTACATTACCAATTGTATTATAATATTTCCTAAGATATTGAATAGTTTCAATCAGTCATAAAATTTGATTCCAATCTCTACAAATTAGTAAATTGATTATCAATCACAATTAAATATACCTGATTCCGAATGGTGATTTAATCAAATTATCAAATTAGTTAAAGATACAATCACATTTTGCGTAAATTATACTTTTGATACATTGTTTGTTTGAAACTATAATATTTCTGATACATTGTTTGTTTCTCAAGCTAAATAAATATTTGTTTTAAACAAACTTACTAAGAAAATAATATATTTGTTTTCTCAACGTACTAAACCATATAATATTTTTTACCCGAAGAACCATATAATTTTCGATACATCGTATTATTTATTTTCTACTTCACCAATTTTTATGATAATTATAATATAAAACGTAGTCAATCATGATATACAAAATATATCATATACAAAAAAATCTATGTTTTTGTTAAGTATATAATAATCGTTTATTTGATTGTGTTATATTGCCAAATATATTATATTGTTTTCTAAAATGTTGAATAGTTTCAATCAGCTATAAAATATGAAAACATTGTTATAAATTAGTAAATTGATTATCAATAACAATTAGATATATATTTTTCGAATGGTGATTTAATTAAAACATCAAATTAGTCAAAGATACAATCATATTTTGTGGTAATTACATCTAATTTGGTACAACATTACAAATATGATATAACCTGATTGATCACTAATTAGTGATTACACCTTCCATTTTTGTAACATGTAATAGATTGAAGTATGATCTCTTTAAGTCTTCTCACTTCCTGGTAGACGCAGATTATTATCTAGTATAATTAATTTGTTAAAGTATTGACTTTGCTATGCTATTAATTAATACTAGATCATGATCCGTGCCCTCGCGCGGATTTTATTTTTCAGATTTATTCTATAGATTTTTGTTTTATATAATTTCAAGTTTGTATAATTTGATTTTATGTTTAAAGAATAATATCAAAATTATCTTTTGTATTAATAACGTCAAATCCTTGTATTATAGATGTAACCGTATAGTGAAAACATTAATTTTGTACGCTTGTTCGAAGTGTAAAATCAAATTCAAATTTAATTATTTGCGTTAGAAAATAAGTTGAGAGTTTAGTTATTTCTGATGTTAATAATTATCCAAAGTTTTAAAAATAATATACAAATTTCTATAAAAAATTCTTAACTTTTATTTTATACGTTAGATCAAATTCAAGCTTAACGTTGGTTTTAACTTTGCAATCGCGAAATATTTTATGATTAAAAGTTTCATAAATAACTTAAAAAATATTTTGGTAATTTGAAATCATTTATGTATTTGTGCATTTAAATTGGTATTTTTAAATTCAACCCGAACCGCGGTTAAGCCGGTGATCTGATGATGCAATTTTGATTTCTAAAAATATCCAAATTAAAAAAAAAAATCACTAGAACTCGGGACTAACCTATTAAACCGATGGATAATTGATATGTAATATTTAATCCTATAAGAATAAGTTTATTTTTCTTGTTTATAGTATATTACTTAAATTTTTTCATTTACCTAAATAATTTGAAAGAAAATTGTGAACAATTATTAAAAAGGATAAGATCTAATATTTTGTATTGTTTGGACATAATATTAGTTTGTTTGTATATTTACATCGCTATGCTTTGTTTGTATATTTTTCTTTGGAATCTATCACACCGCTCGCGGTCGCTTCTTTCAACCTTCTTAGGGTTTAAGCCTCTCCGTCCGTGAGCCTTCTGAAAGTTGCAACCTTTCGAAATCCCATCTCCAATGAATGGTCAGAGAAGCTCTCCAATTCCTCTCTCGCCTGAGAAAGTCTCCCTCTTTCCCAGACCCACTCACCTTCAACAAGCACATCCATCACCTCATCAACTCCAGCTGCGGCGTCCTCTCTCTCAAGCTCCTAGCTTACTTAGTCTCCAGAGGCTACACACCTCACCGCTCTTCCTTCAATTCAATCGTATCGTTTCTTTGCAAAGCAGGACAGGTTCAATTCGCTCAAGACATCGTTCGGGCCATGCCAAAGTTCGGGTCTTTACCAGATGTTGTGTCTTTTAACTCTCTGATTAATGGGTACTGTAGAAATGGTGATGTGGGTGATGCTTGTTTGGTGTTGGAGAGGTTAAGAGTAGTCTCTGTCTGTAAACCTGATGTAGTTAGTTTCAACTCCTTGTTTAATGGGTTTAGCAAGAAGAGGATGTTGGTGGAGGTTTTTGTGTATATGGGAGTTATGTTGAAGTGTTGTTCGCCGAATGTTGTTACTTACAGTACTTGGATCGACGCGTTCTGCAAATCAAGAGAGTTGGAATTGGGTTTGAAGTGTTTGAGTTTTATGAAGAGAGATGGTTTGACTCCTAATGTGGTTACTTTCACTTGTTTGATCGATGGGTATTGCAAATCCGGGGGATTGGAGGTCGCGGTTTCGTTATCCGAAGAAATGAGACGCGTTGGGATGTATATGAATGTTGTCACTTACTCCGCGTTGATAGATGGGTTCTGCAAACAAGGGGAGATGCAGAGGGCCGAGGAGTTGTATTCGCGGATGCGCGAGGATGGAGTGGAGCCGAACTCGGCGGTGTACACCGCGTTGATCGACGGGTGTTTCAAGAGAGGAGATGGTGATAACGCCATGAAGTTTCTAGCGAAAATGCTTAACCAGGGGATGAAGCTTGATGTTGCTGCTTACGGCGTGATCGTATCGGGACTTTGCGGGAGTGGTAAAGTAAAGGAGGCGGCAGAGGTGGTGGATGAGATGGAGAAAGGTGGTTTGGTTCCTGATGAGATGATTTTGACGACAATGATGAACGGTTATTTTAAATCCGGACGGGTGAAGGATGCGGTTAAGGTGTATGGTGAGTTCATTGAGAGAGGCTTTGAGCTTGATGTTGTCGCTCTTTCGACTTTGATCGATGGGTTTGCGAAGAGCGGGCAGCTACATGAAGCTATTGGTTACTTCTGCAAAGAGAAAGCTAATGATGTTATGTACACTGTGCTGATCGATGCTTTGTGCAAAGAAGGAGACTTTGTAGAAGTTGAGAGACTCTTTAGCAAAGTACTTGTTGTTCCGGATAAGTTCATGTACACTTCTTGGATAGCTGGTTTGTGTAGGCAAGGGAACTTGGTGGATGCGTTTAAGTTAAAAAACAAAATGGTTCAAGAGGGTCTTGAGCTCGACTTGCTAACGTACACGACGTTGATCAACGGTTTAGCTAGCAAAGGGTTGATGGTGGAGGCTAGACAGGTTTTTGATGAAATGCTGAGAAGAGAGATCATCCCTGATGTAGCTGTGTTTGATCTCTTGATTAGAGCTTATGAAAAAGAGGGAGACATGACCGCTGCTTCAGAGTTGTTACTTGATATGCAAAATAGAGGGCTTGTAACAGTAGTAAGTGTTGAGGATTGCAGTAAACAATGTGATAGTGAAGTGACTTGTACTTGAATTTACTGGTGATTTTGTTAAAAATGTGATTTTTTACATTTATAAATGAATATCTTTAACAAAAGGTACAGAAAAGTTTTAGCTGGGGAAATGGAACTAGTGTTTGTCTCTGCTACATTAGATTCAAGTCTTCAAGATTGATCAGTAGTTCCTTTAAGGTTGAGAGGGCATGTTGGTCTAATCTTAGAATGGAAATGGTGGTTGCAAGGAAGAGTGAAGCTCTACTCCGTCCTTGTAAGAACTCAGACATACACAATAGTTCTCCAGCAAAGAAACCAAAGTAGACATTTTTCAACCTTTATAAAAAAAGATTTTGTAAGTAACAAAAGTGTTGTCATCGCTTTACCGCATCCTCAGCAAGTAATGTTATTTCAGTTGCACAAAACTAAATACAAACACTCCTCGTAATGCAGTCATCATCATTAGAGCCCACTCTGAGATTTTGGGAACCTATTGTTATTTCTATGTAAAAAAAAATTTTAGAGACTTAAATTTTTTTGGAAATCTATATTCATTTAATTTTCTTCAAAAAGAATCTGTGACGAATGTTTCACTTAACATGCTGCAAGGCCGGTCCTGATCATCATACATGGATGAATCCAACACAGAGATAGTCAAACCTGTATCCAATACATGCGAGCCCAGATCACTCTACGATAGAAATAACTTTACAGAACATTTGTTACCTACAAGGCTACAACTATTTCGCAAAATCACACTCTTGAAAAAAAAAATCTTCAATTTAATGAAATACAAAATAACTCGTGAAACCATTTAACCGGATTTGGTATAATAAAACAAAAGGATAGAGTAGGTGGGCCAAAGGCCCAAATCCAACCACAGAATCGAAATGAAAAAAAAAACTCGTGGCGCACACTTTTATCTAATTAATAAAAACAAAAACAGACAAAAAAAACAAAAAACAAAAAAAATTGCATCGAACAATGGGCCAACAGAAAATCCTCCCCAAAATCCTAATCCTTATCCTTTTACCTCTCTCTTTTATTCTCTCCTCCCTTTCCTCCTATTCTTCGTCTCCAAGCCTTCTCTCCATCATCCTGAGTAGTCTTAGATGATGGAGTTAACTTCCTTCTTTCTCCCTGATCTCTTACTTTTCATAACACCCCTCTGGATCGCTGTCCTTGTCGGAGTTTTAGTCGGTTGGGTTTGGAGACCAACTTGGGCTAGAGATGATAAACTCTTCACTCTCTTCAACAACAACAACAACAACAACCTTAAACTCCCTGCTACTACCGAACCTAGTCAAGTATACAAAGAGAAATCTGGTTTTGTAACCAATGATGATTTTAGACATCTATGGAACTTGGTTGAGGTCAAAGACGGTGGTCCCACCTGGATTCAAATGATGGACAGGAACACTCCAACTTTCTCTTACCAAGCGTGGAGAAGAGATCCTCAAGATGGCCCACCACAGTACCGTAGCAGAACTGTGTTTGAAGATGCGACTCCTGAGATGGTTAGAGACTTTTTCTGGGATGATGACTTCCGTTCTAAATGGGATGATATGCTTTTGTTTTCTTCTGTGGTTGAGTCTTGTAAGGAGACTGGTACTATGGTTGTTCAATGGGTCCGCAAGGTGGTTACACACTCTTCTTCTTTGTTTATTTACCTTTTTTTTTTTGGTTTTGTTTCTATGTTTTGACTGTGGAATGTTTTGTTGCAGTTCCCGTTCTTTTGTAGTGACAGAGAGTATATCATAGGGAGGAGAATATGGGATGCTGGCCGAGTCTTTTACTGTGTTACTAAGGTAGTGTTATTACCATAATGTATTTTGCTGTTTTTGTCTCTAAAATAGAGTGAAAGGTGAAGGCTATAATGTATTCCTCTAAAATATAATTGAGTTAGTAAAAAGTAGAGAATTGCTATTTCTTTCCCTATTTATAAAATAGAGTAAGAGGTGAAGGTTACTCATTTATTCCTCTAAAAATATAATTGAGTTAGTAAAAAGTAGAGAATTGCTATTTCTTCCCCTATATATGTAGAAGAAAAAATAGCTAGGAAAAAATAGAGATGGGATTGAGTAGATTAATCTTAGGCAAATATAAAGAGGGGTTGGAGATGCTCTCAGGATCATGAGAATAGGATAGTGGAGCAGTCCCCAAAATTTTAAGAAAAAAAATACAAATTAAAAATAAATAAATAAATAATAATAGTTAATTCTTACTAAATTGACTATAGTTCCAAAACATTCCAGGATCGGCTCTAGTTCTTCTTGTGGATATGAATTTTGTTTTGATGTAAATTGATTTTGGAGGTGAAGTTGTGACGTTTTCTATGTGTTATCCTCTTGTATATTGTTTCAGGGAGTTCAATATCCGTCTGTACCACGACAAAGCAAGCCACGGCGTGTTGATTTATACTATTCAAGCTGGTGCATCCGTGCAGGTAAGTTTTATACAATTGTCATCTACTTTTGTGGAACTTTTCTATGTTAAATGAGTTTATATATTTTATCATTTGTGTTATTAGTTGAATCGAAAAGAGGGAATGGTGAGATGACATCATGTGAGGTTTTACTATTCCACCACGAAGACATGGGGATACCTTGGGAGATAGCAAAACTCGGGGTGAGACAAGGGATGTGGGGTGCAGTGAAGAAGATAGAGCCAGGTTTACGTGCATATCAGAGTGCTAAAGCAGAAGGAACAGCAGGTTTGTCACAAAGTGCATCGCTGGCTCAAATCAACACTAAAGTGAGTGTTGAGGAGTTTATGAACGAGAGGGATTCGACAGGAGAGGTTGGTGGAGATGAGAAGGCGTCTTCAGGGAAAAACATACCGAAGATATTAGTGGTGGGAGGAGCGATTGCGCTTGCGTGTACGTTGGACAAAGGGCTGTTGACGAAGGCGGTGATATTTGGAGTGGCGAGGAGGTTTGCAAGAATGGGGAAGAGGATGTAGGAGGAGGAAGGATGTGTATATTTGTGAAAGGAGGGAGGTGGTGGAAGATGTGGAGAGGGTTTACTCTCCTTTTGGAATTCCAAATAGAGAGAAAAGAAAGGTTGGTTTATTTGTCTTGGTGAATGTATGTATCAATCATGTGAGAGAAAAGAGAAAAAGAAAGAGAGTTAAATTCTTTGTGTTGGACTTTTGGTAAACATATCAAATGTTTTATTTGTCTAAATTTGTGATGAAGTGAATAGTCATTGGGATTTGAAAACAAAACACAGAGAGGAAAATGAATCAATGTAAAATGGCACTAGTAGATAGATTGTAAAAGAGTAGCTTTTTCCTTTGCTTACAATTAGTCTGAAGTCTCTCATCATTTTTGTTGTTATGGTAACATATCAACAAATAGGCTTGGGGGAGCTGTGATTGTTTCTCTCTCTCTCTGCTCAAGAAAGTTAGAACACAACAGGAATAGAGCTTGAATTCAAGATAATGAGTGTCTAAATCCCCAAATTCATAGGCAGGTTCAAAGGTTTGTTCCGCAGAGATGCAAAGTCCATATGGTATTTCTTCTCAAGTATGCCATCTCAAAAAGAAAATATCAATTCTTAACTTATAATTAATTTTTTTTATCAAATAATAAGTTTAGTAATTATAAATAAATAAATTCATATTTAAATAACACTGTATTTGTAATTTTGATAAAAATAACCTCAGACCCCTAATTGAATACACCTTACCTATGTTCTAGTGAATTTATTTAATTATGTCATTTCGTACTTCATCACACACTTTTCGTTGTGTCTCTAATTCTTTTCTTATATAGAAAAACATCACTTGTGACTTGTGTGCTGATATTTTTAGAGAAATTAAATCAAATAACCAAAAAAAAAATAACATAAATTCACTAACTACCCATATATCATTCTCAACTTTCTCTCTACAAATCTACTTTTCTGGTTATTTCATAAATAAATAAATCCATTTTTTTAATCATCAAAAAACAAAATAAAAGCATTAACAAAAAAATAATAATAATATTTTAATAAAATTTCGTTACTCCGCAAATCGAATTCATTCGGGAGGAAAGCGAGTAACTGCGTAAGCCACAGATGAGTCGCCTCCATCTCCATCTCCATCTCCTTCTTCCTCTTCAGCAGATCTGATTATCTCTCTTCGTATCGCCTTAATCGCGATTTCACGTCCGTCGTCGCAGTTTCCCGATTTCGAAACGCTCAATCTGACATGTCAGACGCTCTCTCCGCGATTCCCGCCGCCGTTCACCGCAATCTCTCCGATAAACTCTACGAGAAGCGCAAGAATGCTGCGATTGAGGTTTGTCATCCGAATCTTATGATGATGATGATGATGAATGATGATGATTGCGTGCGGTTTTTGATTTGTATAGATTGAGACTACAGTGAAGAATTTAATAGCTGCGGGTGACCATGACAAGATCTCCAAAGTCATTGACGTGTTGGTTAAGGAGTTTGCAAAATCACCTCAAGCTAATCATCGCAAGGTTTATTTTATTTATTTTTTAGCGTTTTTAGATCTGTTAGGGTTTTCAAATTTTACTGCAATGTTGTTGTGTGTGTTTTTTTTAATAGGGTGGACTTATTGGCTTAGCTGCTGTAACTGTTGGTTTAGCTTCAGAAGCTGCTCAATACCTTGAGGTATATATATATATATATGTATATATATAAATAGTTTATCAATGTTATTTTTTATTATAATCCATTCTGTGGTATTTTAGTGTACATTTCTTATTGTTATTTTTGATTTGTTGAATATGAAGCAAATAGTGCCACCTGTGATTGCCTCCTTTATCGATCAAGATAGCAGAGTTCGGTACTATGCATGTGAAGCTCTCTATAACATTGCAAAGGTAGAGAGAGAGAGACATGTGTATAGGTTTTTTATCCTATGTGTTATTGCTATTGATGCACCATCATCGTCCTTTCTTGTTTACTATAGGTTGTGAGAGGGGAGTTCATTGTTTTCTTCAATAAGATTTTTGATGCTTTATGCAAACTCTCAGCTGATTCTGATGCCAATGTCCAAAGTGCTGCTCATCTTTTGGATCGCCTTGTTAAGGTGTGGATAGTTTTTTTTCTTTCTTACACATTAGTGGTTTATATATATTTTGATCATATGCTGATTAGAGTTATGCTTGTACCTTGTTGAATAGGATATTGTGACAGAGAGTGATCAGTTCAGGTGTGTAAGCTAGCTTTTTCGGTTATGCTTGTCAGAAACAAAACTGATATTGTTAACTTCAAAGAACTCACGTTTTTGGCATTTGGATTTTTCAGTATTGAGGAATTTATCCCCTTGTTGAAAGATCGCATGAACGTTTTGAACCCTTATGTGCGACAATTTCTGGTAGGATGGATCACTGTTCTTGACAGTGTTCCAGACATTGATATGCTTGGGTTTCTGCCGGACTTTCTTGATGGTAATTGTAGTTTTGATGACTTCAGCTGGATAGATATGTGATCTTATCCAAAGTTTATTTATTTGTGTTTTCGGTGGTGAACTAACTTACCAGTAAATTCCCAGGTTTATTCAATATGTTGAGCGACAATAGTCATGAAATACGACAGCAAGCTGATTCAGCTCTGTCAGAATTTCTTCAAGAGATAAAAAATTCACCAGTAAGATTTCTTCTGTGTCCTGATATAAAATCCTGCTACAAAATCCCTTTTCAGTATCATTTTCTATAGGTTTCTCATTTCTTCCTATTAGTGTACCTGTAAATTTCTGACTGGAGCAGTACTACTGTTGAAAGTCTGTAGATTATGGTCGCATGGCTGAAATACTGGTGCAGAGGGCTTCTTCTTCTGATGAATTCACTCGGTTAACGGCCATCACATGGGTAAGAATAAAAAAACACGTTTCGGCTTGGCCTCTTCCTGGAGATTCATATGCTTAGAATTTGTGTTTAAAAATAAAGAATCTACTCTTGTAGATAAACGAGTTTGTAAAACTCGGAGGTGACCAGCTCGTGCGTTACTATGCTGATATTCTTGGAGCTATATTGCCTTGCATATCTGACAAAGAAGAAAAAATCAGGGTGGTAAGTTTTGTTCCTTTTCCTGGATGATGAAAACTGTAGGTCTCGTATTCAACGTTTCACTTTATTTGTGTTTTTTTGTTTGTATAAGGTTGCTCGTGAAACCAACGAAGAACTTCGTTCAATCCATGTTGAACCCTCAGATGGTTTTGATGTCGGTGCAATTCTCTCTGTGGCAAGGAGGTTGGTTTTTTCATATGCCTTTGTTTGGTCCTTCTAAATGCTATCAGTGTTCGCCTGGTTTTGTGACCTGTGAGTTTTTGCATCGACCAGGCAGCTATCAAGCGATAATGAGGCTACTCGAATTGAAGCCTTGAATTGGATATCAACACTTCTGAACAAGCATCGTACTGAGGTGAAGTGACCAGCTCTTTTTGGCACCATTCTCTTTTATAAGTTACTCCTTTGTTCGTCGCTTTATAGCTAATTTGGGAATGTTGTAACAGGTCCTGTGCTTCCTGAATGACATATTTGACACACTGCTAAAAGCACTATCTGATTCTTCTGATGACGTGAGTTTACTTCCCTGCGTGTTTGTTTGGTGAATTTTATGTTGCATAGGTTTGGTTATAATATTAAATTTATTTGTATTGAAATATATGGACATGAAAATATATCATAGGTGGTGCTCTTGGTTCTGGAGGTTCATGCTGGTGTAGCAAAAGATCCACAGCACTTTCGCCATCTCATCGTCTTTTTAGTCCACAATTTTCGAGCTGATAATTCTCTATTGGAAAGGTTAGTCACATTTTGTAACCCATCTTATAGTTTATGGAAGTAACATATTATTAAGTTGGTCAAAACATATCTGGTTTAGGCGTGGTGCCATTATTGTCCGGAGATTGTGTGTACTTTTGGATGCCGAAAGAGTCTATAGAGAGCTCTCAACTATACTCGAGGGAGAAGATAATCTTGACTTTGCTTCAACCATGGTTCAGGTATTTCTCCTTTCCCGAGTTTTTTTCTAATTAAGTGGTATTTAAAGGTAGTTTGCATGTTTTGTACGGGCCCTTCATGATTTGGCAGGATTGTTGGTTCATGTTATTTCTCACTTTGATTTGTTAATAATTGGATTGTCTTTTGCCCTTTTCTTTTCTTTTATGTTTCAGGCATTGAATTTGATTTTGCTTACAGCCCCAGAGTTATCAAAACTAAGAGGTCTTCTAAAAGGTTCACTCGTCAATCGCGAAGGGAAAGAACTTTTCGTTGCCTTGTACGCTTCGTGGTGCCATTCTCCTATGGCCATTATAAGCCTCTGCTTATTAGCTCAGGTAGCTACAGCAGCAAAAAAAAAAATCTTGCTGTATATTTCCTAAAAGATCACCATCTGATGTTGAATATAACGAATGGAACTATTGACAGGCGTACCAGCACGCGAGTGTCGTGATTCAATCATTGGTAGAAGAAGACATAAACGTCAAATTTCTTGTACAGCTTGATAAATTGATCCGGCTTCTCGAAACTCCAATCTTTACTTACCTTAGATTGCAGGTTTGCTACATTCATCTCAA